AACATGTTCACTCACACATGTTCACTTGCACAACATGTTCACCCACACATGTTCACTCGCACAACGTGTTCACTCACACATGTTCACTCGCACAACGTGTTCACTCACACATGTTCACTCGTACAACGTGTTCAGCACTCCCACGCCAGCCATCAACAGTTGATCGTGTTGTTTTGCTGGGCGTTTGTGCGGTTTCCACAGGGATGGCTCGTGGAATGTTGGCTGACTCAGCTCGGTTCGTTCATTCAGATTTTAATTCAGTTGAAGTACTTCAATTATGTACATTCGCTGTAACAGTTGTTCCTTAGTTTTTTTTAACTTAGCAGACATATCTTTCAGTGGGTGTATGTTGCATGCAGTACAGTGCATTGCATAAATATGATACATTATTTATACGCTTTCTCAAATACATTCAGTTGCACGCTGCATCATGGATCTGTGTATATTTTTTGAGACATAAAAACTAACATTCGCATGACAATTAACAAAAACAAAATAAGAGTACAGCAGGCATTTACAGCAACAACAACAACAACAACAATAACAACAACAACAGTAACAGCAACAGCAACAACATCATCAACAACAACAACATAACAAAACCACAGCAACATAACACAGTTGCGCAAAATGCAACACAACAACAATAACATGAAAAAACTGGATGCATGCGTAGAATGTTTGAAATATGCGACACAAAGCTCCAATACATACATACACTGCTTGGAGGTGATTTCTTAAAACACTTTATAATATTAGTCAGAGAAGTTTTCCACTGAAAATGTTGATTGACTAAATGTGCAACGAAAAAATTTAAACCATGCTATAAGCTGAAAGCATAAATACAACAACTGAGAATCATGTTTCGTTAACTGACGAGCGATTCAAATGTTTAAATCATTACATTACTTATAAAGGAATGTGTTTGAGAGAACACTCATCGCTAATGGTAATTTCAAGTTTGAAGCTAATACGAATTACTCGAATTGAATTGAAAGCGAGAACAACAAAATAGGCGATACGTGGTGGTCCCGTGCTGGACATAAAAGCACAAAATCAGCTTTCCGTGCTAACAAGTGAAGCCCCCCACCTTTCCAACGTGCACAAATGAATGACAAGCCAGTCCAAAATTTTTCAATAATAATCTCCTCAACGTCACTCTTCGGTGAGATGCAGAATGGAGGTCCGTGAGCCAAACTGATGAGCACACCACACGTACAACAGTAAACACGCATCCATTTAAGCTTGTCCATCTTTAGTTGAACAGCTTTACATTAATCTTTCAAAACAAATAAAATTTTATCCATTGCGTTTACGTTAATAAACACTGACGCAAATTTAAAATTAAACTATCGTTTCATTTTAAAAATAAAACTAGTTGTTAAAAATATTGTTTAATCTACTGCCAAAATAAGTTTTATTTGAAGAATTAAAGTGATAATCAGCAGGTAATAGAGACCTCGATGAACGAGACTATCACATAAAAAATAAAAGTGCTTGGAAAATTAAAGATCGATTTTACTGATCTCTAACTTCTGAAAAGTATTTCAAGATTTCAAGCCACGAAGAACCAGGCCAAGCCGGGCAGTGGCAGCGAGGAACTTTAAATACAAAAACTGAACATGAATCTACAGAGGCAAGCAAATGAGCAAGAACGGAATCTGAGCTGAACCAGGTTAAAGTCACGTTAGAGTGACTTTCGACTAATATTATTGTACATTAATATAACTTTACATCATCATTACAGTTTCTAAAGTAACTTTGTTTCAGTAATCATAGACGATCACATTAATCCTATTTCTGAATATCATTTGGGCCGCACATTTTTATCAAATAACAATTTCTTAGCATTGTGATGTGATATGATATCAATGTTACATTGTTTCACTGAACCCTTAATGATATCATTTCATTTAACGTATTTCATTGTGTAAGACGCACAAAATTATCAATTCATCATTCTCCAATTCTACCAAAGTACGCCACTGAAGCATTACCCACACATTAAGTTACATCATTATAACATTATTCTCACATCACATCGCCAGCATCACATCATGCTCACTCACATGACATAACTCTATTAACATCATTACATCACATTCAGACAGATCCCAATGCAACAACGTTATTGTTCTGAATCTTTCCCGGTCGCATGCAAAACTATCATGAAGTGATTGTATGCAGTAGATGGCCAATGCCCGCATATGCGCCGTGGTTACTCAGTGGTCAGCCGACGGTCATGCAAGCTTCACGCACCATGGATATGTGAATGTTTATGGTCGTGCACATGAAGATGGATGCATGCATGGGTGGATGCATGTATGCATGGATGGGTGAGTGAATGGAGGGATGGATGAATGGGTAAATGAATGGATGGATAAATGAGTGAATAGATTTCAGTATGGATGGATAGATGGATGATAAATCATTTGTTGCACGAATTGATATAAATTTATGGTTTTGTTGCTTTGTTCTTTGATGGTTTCACATCTATCTGTTTTTTGACAGAAAATGTTTTAATTTAAAAATGTAAAGGGATAAAATATTAAAAAAATTTTTAAACATTTCAAATTGAAATTCATCCATCAACAATGATGATCCATCAAATCAGGTTCACAGTCAGCTACATCTCAATGTAACTTTATTTGAAAGCATTTTATGTTTCAGTTTGAGGCCGTCAACTGTGGCAGTGTTAGGGACAGTTGAACGCCCACGTTTCCCTTGCAAGCGCTAAAAGTACCATGTTCAGTTCTCGCCACTAAATATTAAACTGTTGATAATATTTATTTGACTGCTACCAAAAGCTGATAATATTAAAATTAATATTTTTGAACGATGTAGAATTAAGTGTCCACGATTTTACAAATAACTTGCATGGCAACAAATGAAATGGGTCATTCAATATACTACATACACAACAAGATAAAATAAACTTTCATATCAACGTATTTGAACACTTTAAAATATTATTAAAACTGTTTGCAACCTTGCACCAGTCTTAGGGGTCCAGACACTTTTATGAAAATCAGACCAAACGATGAAACGCTCTGAAATGTGTCAACGTTCCGTCTGTCAGTCTCCTACACGGTCTCCTATACAGTCTCCTATACGGTCTCCTATACGGTCTCTTATACGGTCTCTTATACAGCCTCCTATACTTTATTGCTTCATAGAGGGCTGTTATTCAACTTCGCCATAATATGTGTCAGTGATATTCTATGCCGCATGTTCCTGCTGGACATTTCAAATAAAATACTTTATGCATCTACGGCTAACTACCATTACTACTGTGTGTGCTTCAAAGTTGCTTATGTGTGTTATGAACTGATATAAGAGCTTTTTTTATTTTTCTTTGTCTGTAGATTAGTGTATATACATCTAAAACTGTTGAACAATGTGAACAATGTCAGTCTTCGTTTCTGTTTCTAAACAAATACTCAACAAAATTGTTGTCTCAAAATGAGACAGTTCATATGACGTAAAAACATGGCGGCCATTTACAAATTGTTACGGTGCTGTACAACCACGATGTTTCAAAATGTATATACGGACTGCGAAATGTTGTATCGGGGAAGGCCACTGGTCTCCGAGTTCGAATGCAAACTGTCTCGGTCTGAGTGATGATTAAATGAACGCGTATTCAAAAGAAAGCAGGAGTAAGTTAATTGCACTGTTATAATGTTGTATGTTTCTGTATGCAACCTCTCGTACACATACTGCGTACATTCACTTCTATGTAACAATTTAAGATATTTGGCTGAAGGAAAACGAAATAAAATAATTGGATAGAATGATTCAAAAAGATTAAATGCTGCCGTCATATTTTAACATCGACGAGGCTAATCCTAACATATAATTGTTATATATCAAATTTTATTCCACTTTCCTTGCAAATAAATTAAATAAATATACTAATTAATTTTAAAAATTTATTTATGAATTGTTTTATTTTTATTCAAACAATAGTTATCATTTCATTGATTTATAATTAACTCACATCACTATTACGTCATTAGCCAGCCGGTTAATACAATTTTCTTAATTCCCTTGCATTAATGTCACTAAAGTGAAGCAATTATTTTGAAACGCTGTCTTATTTTTAAGCAAAACGAATGTTGGAAAATCTATCTTTTTGAATTTTAATAAAAAAAAATTAACGAAAAAATTAATCGAAAAAATTGAGAATGAAAAACTAATTATGAAAATAATGGATCGCTTTTGAGAAGTTAAAAATTAAAAATTTAATTAAAGTTGCAGTGAATCACATACGTCATCGCTTGGGTTCGTTGCAGCGATGTGCGTGGGCTTGGGTATCTTTTACAGTTTTACTTTTAATTTTTAAACATTTATTTATATATTTTTAAAAACCGAATTAATATTTTTAAGTTAATAATTAATTTTAATTTTCACTGTTAAAATATTATCTATGATATCAATAAAGAGTCACATTGTTATGGCTAATAAAAAAGCTTGAGTAGCAACAAAACAATCAAATTAATAAATTTACAATACATTAATGCATGTCTAATTATATTTTCAATCAATATTTCTCTCCTGATGGGCGTTGAACCTACCTTCCAAAGAATGCAGCCGTACCAAAATCACACACACACACACGAACACCAACACACACACCATCACACACAATACACACACACACGACACACGCACACACACTGTTTTAACTGTTTGTTTTTCCAATTATAATGATTATTAAGAGAGCTTTAATTTTGATTTTAGCATCAACTACACACACCCAATCAATTCATTTTATTGACAATTTTTTATTCTTTGAAGCATAAAAAAGTCGAACGACCAATTATCACGCAAATATTTAGAGAAAGAGAGAAAGAAAAATAAAGAGAGAAAAAGAAGATTAAAGAGAGAGAAAGAGAGAGATGGAGAGAGGGAGCACATAATAACACACAACAACAATAACTTACGTCCAATTCAGAACGATTGATGGTTTGAGTTTGTGATCCTCAATTTTTTCAAAATTATTCTTTATTATTATCATGGGTGGAGTTGTTGAATGCCAGAGCATCACAGCAGTCGATCGTCAGATCACACGGTATCTCCACGTACGACTTGAAACAAAAATCTGAATGCAACAACGTTGTTGAGTTCTTGTTGTTTGTTGTTGACGATGTTGTGACAGTGTCGGCTGAAATAATTTCATTAGTTAATTGGCTGTTGGGGCTTTTGTTGGTTTCTTTGCTGGCTGAGTGGCAACACGAGGGTGTGTTGTTTGGCAGACTGCTGACAAGTCTCAGTGCTGACGTCTTCAGATAGGCTGCCGATGTTGACGCGTCGCAGTTTGTCATTAGGTTGTTCTTTTCGTTGTATATGTTGTTGTTGTTGTTAATGTTGTTGTTGTTGTTGATGTTGTTTTTGAATTCGTTGTTGTAAAAATATGAGTTGCAATCCGATGAGTATTGAAAGTTTGTGAAATTGTTACTTCTGTGGGAGCAGGACCACGCGAGGTTGTCATCATGGAGGTCGGGCGTTCCCGTTCTGTTGAAACCAACTTCAACAACTTCCCGACTGTTTAACTTATTTTCATTGCGGGCAGCAACATTTAAACTGCCGTACAACGAACCAGTTAAATTTGAACTCGTCTTGGCGTGGAATATTTGAGTCGTGACGTCATTAGCTGGTGTGAGCTGGCAGAGGAGGGCGTGTTTCGGGCAATAAGAAACTGCAGATTGAATTGGCTGGCGGTAGTGCGCGTGCACGAGCTGCTTGTTGACGCTCTTGTGGTGGTTGTGGTTCGGTGTGGCTGCATGGTTGTCCAGTGATGTGAGAGATGTTGAGAGAGTTTGTTGTTGAAGAAAGATGTCGTTTTGTGTTTTCGTTGCGTTCGAAACGATGGTTACTGGTGAACTTTGGCTGAAATACCTCTGTCTACGACTTTAAAACGATTTTCATAGCTCCATCAGTTAAAATATAATAAAATAATATAATAATATTATATTATAATAATTTTAGCTATTTTAATAAATTTATTCTCCCTTTATTTCAAGATCTGCTTATTGAAGCATCAGTTGAACTAACTGGTGCAGACAGGCGTACCCGACGCTGATGATGATGAACCAGATGGTGAGGGAGAGCAGAAGGACGATGACCACCGACGCACCTGCCAGGTGACCAACAGTCACGTGGGGACAATTGTGATGATCAAAATAATTGCTAAAGTAAATAAATGTGTGGTGAACAAATTTTATTTTACATAACTATATTCGGTGTCAGAATTAATGAGGATGACGACGATGATGATAATGATGGTGGTGGAGGAATTGATGGTGGTGGTGGTGGTGGAGGAGGAGATGATGACGGGGGAGACAATGGGAAAGACACCACCAACAAGGCACCAAGCCACCATATTTTATCAAGATAAAATAATAATAATAAAGCAATAATATTATTAACGACAATGACGGCAATGAACATTAAAGTGACTATGAAAAGGGTGGTGAGTGCGGTGGCGATGGAGAATTGCTTCATCATCATCATCATCCTCATCACCATCATCATCATCATCCTCATCACCATCATCATCATCATCCTCATCACCATCATCATCATCATCCTCATCACCATCATCATCATCATCCTCATCACCATCATCATCATCATCCTCATCATCGTCATCATCATCATCCTCATCATCGTCATCTTATTCACGCTGATGATGATAATGATGATTACAAATTTGAAGAAAACTTGCAAATGGCAGCAGACATTGTACTCACCCCAGGATATGTTCCTAAATGAAGACTTCTTATTCGTCGGCAGGTGGTGCTCGTTGTTCGTCAGGAGTGCTGAAAAATGTTTGGAGCGTTACTTGATGCGAATTAAAATCGCTTGGTCCAATTTGAGAATATTTTTATTTCTATTCATTTGAAATCTCGTTAAGGAATTAAAAAATGATTTCAATTAAAAAATAAGACAAAAATCATTTTTGCCAATTTTCAACAAAAAAACAGGTTGGTGTAGATTTGTGATTTAGAAATCGTTAACAATTCACTTGGATTTAATTTTATTTACGGGTTTCAAATCCATGTTTCAAAGAGTTAAACAACGCGTTCAAAATGAAAGAGGACGTAAAATAATGAATGTTTTGTCGATACGAACAACAAAAGAACGAAGAAAATTATTGCAAACAAACAAACAAACATCACAGTCAATTAACACAGTCGATTTCAATTTTATTTGCTGGTTTTAATCTTCATAATCTCATTTGGTCACCAGATTTATTAACATTTATTTTGTCACTCAGTTTCTAATGAGATTTAAATTTTAAAAAATTTGGTGATTTGTTAAATTGGATCAAACGAATATAAATCAGGTCAGCTGAGCCTGCTTTGCAAGGAATGAAAGGAAAATGTTCTTTAAGAAATGATGTCTATTCGCTAATTCAAAGTCACATTCAGACAAAATTGAAACAACGAAACAACTGTGCCCGCTTAATGAACAAAGTTTTTACACAAATTTTTGACTCGTGGATAAAAATTTCTTCAATTAAACGCACCGTCAACACATCAAAAATGAAAACACATACGAACTCCATCAGGACTCTATCAATCAAACGAAAGAACAAACATAAGCAAGAAACACATGAAAACAAAACAGCATGAACAACACGTGAACACATGAACAACACGTGAACACGTAAACAACACGTGAACATATGAACTAACGAGTGAGTGAACAGTTCCTCTCTTCACCAACCCACACCCGATTGCTGCAGACCATGCGCCATCTATCCCCCTGCCACTCACCACCCTCACCCCCACCACCACCTCCACCACCACCACCACCGCCGCCACCATTATCAACATCAACGTCATAATCTAATGAATGATAATCATCATCATCAACGTTGTTCTCATCATCGTCATTGTCGTCTCTCCTGATAACAGTATTAAAACCGGTTGCGTCGTGTCTGACGCTCTGCCTGATGAGATTATCGGCATCAATTTTGTCATTTGATGGGATTCTATTAACTTGCTTCAGTTTTCTCGACAGGCTGCTCGTTCTGTTAGTTTTCCTCCTTTTATTGATCACGTCTTCAGGAGGAACATCATCGTTCTTGCCACTTGTTCGACTGACGGGGTTGTAGGACGTGTGGTAGCTTTCGTAGCAGCCGAAATATATGGCGTCACCACTTCTCTTCATCCAGCCATTCGTGGGGGGAGGGGGGTTGATGCAGCCGACAACTGGGGGATGATGAAGGAGAAGAAGGAGATAGTGGTGAGGAAGTTGTTGTTGATGAGGATGATGATGTTGATGTTGGTGAAGAAGGAGATAATGATAATGACAATGCGGATGATGGCGATAGAGGTGATGACGGAAAAGTTGCAGATGTTCAGACGTCTCATTGTTCAGATTGAAATTGAAATAAATAAATTTCAAATTAAATCAACGATCATTAAATAAATTATTAGATGAAAATTTATTATACAACTATTTTTATAAAAACGGCATCGTGCAATAACATTAATCATTATCATCATCAACAAAACCGTAATCATCATCATCATTATCAACAACAACAACATCATCATCAGCATCATCATCATCATCATCCTAAACATCATCATCATCATCATCATCACCACGCGCATAATGACCACCTACTTGAAAATGCAGCAGGAAGTTATGCGGAGTCACGTGAG